GTGTGTGTGTGTGTGTGTGTGTGTGTGTGTGTGTGTGTGTGTGTGTGTGTGTGTGTGTGTGTACCCCACAGGCATTACATTGTTCTCACTGCCAGTGCATCCACAGAAGAAAACCATCTTGAATGGTGAGACCCCACACACACAAACACATTTGTATTTCTATCCTTATTAGGACTGTTCATTGACTTCCATTCATTTTCAGTCTTTTCTAGACCTAATAAAGTTAACAAATACACTCACTCACTCACTCAGATTATAAATCAAAGTGTACAGTTTTATGTGAATACAGAGGGTTAATGAGTGACTGTAAACTGTCCCAACCATCAACCCTCCACCACCGTGCTTTAACCCAGTGATCATCAGGAGCAAACTAACTAAATAAAAAGAGACTTAAATACAGTTGATAAGATGATAATTAACAGTTGAATGAGGTGTATTTTATTTTATTTCCATGCTGCTGATGTTGTCTTACCATCCAATGCTTGTCTCCAGGATTGGACTTGTAGAGTCAAAGATCCGTGTTCTGGTTGGGAACCTCGAGAGGAATGAGTTTATCACTCTGGCTCATGTCAACCCTCAGTCCTTTCCAGGGTCCAAAGAAAACAGCAACGAGTGAGTCCTAGTCCATACCAGAGGAAGTCTGATGTCCAACAGGGCCATAAACCACCCTGACCCTGACCCTGACCCTGACCTGTCTTTGCTGCAGGAATAAATTTGTTTCCATGTGGTTCATTGGGATCATCTTTAAGAAGGTGGAGAACGCAGACGGTGTGAACATTGACCTGACCTTTGATATCCAGTCCTTCACTGACACTGGTGGGTTCTCTGCTGTTTTCTGACCATCACTGTATCTGAAACAAATAAAAAGTGAAGTCGGCCCTTTGGACAGGTGGTTCTTTAATGAAAAGTTTTCTTCAGTCTGAAGAGTTTCAGGTAACTGTCTGATAAGCTCCGCCTCCACATGGTGACTAACAGGTTTCATGATGACACTGCACTGTTCACAGAGGACCATCAGCCTAACAATGGTTCATTAGAGCTCTGATTGTCCCTTTGTTCACAGGGAACTGAGTCATGCTCACTGTAGCTGTGTTTCCAKTCACCATGAAAATGTGCAAATTAGAATTTCAAAAATAAATTTGCTCAATGGAAACACGTCAATTTAGAAAAATATTATTTTTTCAACAAAATGTTTTTGCTCTAGGATGAGGTGGTTTTTCGGTCGTATCTAAATTGATGTTTTTCACAAAACTRCAATGGAAACAGTTTTTTCACATCACAGGAGTCACGTGATCAACAACCGTCTGTTTCTACTGGTGAAAAAGACGATGATGAAGAAGATAACAGGAAGTAGAAGTAGTAGTAATATCACAGAAGTAGTATAAAAT